TCATGCAACGACCAATTAAGGTTTTTGCATATCCTTGGATGAGCGCCGTGTTGTCAAAATGTGGTACCGATATCTTGATCCTCTTACGACTTCCTTCTCCGGCACCCGTATGGCGAAGAAGCTGACTCTGTGCTATTGATTTCAACGAACAAGAGAAACCAAAACCAGCAAAAAAGATATATGTGTTGAAAATTGGTATATGCTGTAACCCAAAAAAAGTGAGCTCCTTTATATAAAAACTCAAGAAACTGCAAATGATCCTCTAAATCTCCACCCCCAGAATATCAAATCTTCCGTGATTAAGATCCAAAAACTCCAGAATCCTCAACCAGACCATAATATTCCGTTCTCTCCCTAAAGGGATCCCCAAATCCTGTTGAGCAAGGAAACTGCGAATCTCCCCTTTCCATTTGTTGTTGACATAATAGCTTGAACCTCTTAATTGTAAGATCTGTAGAGATACCTCTGTGACAGTCGTGTAGATGAAGTATCGAGCCACATCTTCACCCTTTATCAGCCCAGATTTTCCAGAATCCCACAGATCCCAAAACACCATAAAAGAATCTTCCTTTCTCCCCGAATCTCGCAACTTACATCGCTGAGCATGACTTTCCTTCGCCAAAGATACACTGTCCCAATAACCCTCCCGATTCCTTCGATTCCCAATTAAAAGCCACCGTTCTCCCGGATCCCATCCACAAAATCTCATCAAAACCTATTAAGTCGCCGTCGCCATCGCCATCTCTGTTTGAATTTTTTTTTTTTTTAGTAGGTACCCTATAATAGATAATATATTTTCAAGATACCTAAACTAATATTTTTTTTTTTATTTAATAATCTTATATTTAAAGAAAATACGATAATTCTTACGTATTATACTGTTATCTTAATATATTTTCAAGATAACAGTATTATACGTAAGAATTATCGTATTTTCTTTAAATATAAGATTATTAAATCAAATTCATTTTTATTATACAATAAATTATATATAAATTATTAAAACATGAAAAATAAGAAAAATTACCTAAAATTATGGAGAAATTGACAACTAAGCACTTTTACTTCTTAAATAATAGTATAGATTATTTTAGATATATTATCCAAAATGTGTAAAATACACAGAAATACTCAAAACATTAAAAAAATACTTTAAATTTACTGGTTATCTACCCAAATATCCAAACCAAATCAAATTTCATGTTAATTTAGGTATTTGATTCTACGTTGCTTAAAGGGTAAATCTCCAAAATAGCACTTTTCTAAGTTTATGTCACAAAATAACCCTCAAAAACTAAAAAGACCAAAATAACATTTTATCTTTTGAAAATTTTAATTTTATTTTATTTTTCAAAAATTGAAATCTTATCCCGAAAACCCCACTTCCCAACTATAATTCCTATAACCTAAATTCTAAACCCTAAACTTAAACCCTAAACCCTAAATCTCACCCCTTAACTCTAAACCTAATGTCTAAATTAATTTATTATTGGGATATAGGTGTATATTTTTCTCTTTTGATAAAACATTAAATGCTATTTTGGTCATTTTTATTTTTAAGTGATATATTTGTGAGAAAAAAAAAATTAGTGCTATTTTAGTCATTTTCTCTTGTTTAAATTTATATGGTGTACAATATTTTATTTTAAAATTTTTTAAAGTATATTTAGATTTTTGAAAATTTTACATGATTACATTTTTGATAAACCACCTAAGGTTTCTGAAAAAGGCAAGTTTACTGGGCTTTATTTTCCGTACATACACATAAATGGGCCTTTTCAGCTCAACGGTGTTACTGTCTTTTTTTTTACCTTTCTATTTTCTTCCTTTTGTAATGATTTTGAATATTAACACAAGGGTTTCCAAATACTTTAGTTACAGAGCGCGAGAGTGTCCGTCTGCCTCCCAGACCATCTCGCTTGAGAAAATCCTTAATGCAACTGAAAGGGTTTCCATTTCTGGCATTTAAGCTTACTTGCGACTACCAAGACTTCAATCTCCATTTTCTCAGGTATCTATACACCTTCCATGACTTATGATGTTAGGGTTTTTTCTTATCTTGTTTGATTTATCAGCTTCTCTTGCTGCATGATGTTGTTTTAGAGTTAAAGAATCGTTTCTGTTTATTTTAGGGCTCGAAAATCAAAGACATGGGGGTTTGAATTTTAGGGATTTATCAGCAAAATTTATTTATAGTTAAATTTTGATTTTCTTGCATTTTAGGGATTTATCCCATCCTTGCTCTTCTTCTGCAGATAGGAACCGTGATATGCTTCTTTATTTACTGAAAATCAAAAACATGGATTTACTTTTTAGGGTTTTATCCCTTAGAATTTACATTTTTTTTACAAAAATTTTGAAATCCTTGCAGGTTTGTTGCAGTTATGGCTGAAATAGAGGTTCCGGTGTACTGTTACTGGAATGGTTGCATCAAGTATGGCCCTGGAGGTGTATACTATGAAGGATCTATTCTGAAAAAGATTATAGTGCACCCAAAGATTGCATTAAACAGATTGTTGGATGAGATGTATGTGCTTGCTGGAGTAGATGTTGATAAGCAGAGATCCAAAAATAAAATATTTGGTAGGTATCCTTGTGTTCTTGGACAGTCGAAGTTTCAGTATCTTCTTCTGCCAGTGGTGAACAACCATAGTTTGGAGGCAATGCTTGAGGTTCCAAGCAAACACCCTTCTATTCAAAATGTCGAATTGTATTTGGATGTGAAGTCTGAGGGAGTTACTGGTCCTGCTGCATGTTCCTCCAAACGACAGAGGACTAGTATACCTGTTAAGGTAGAGAGGAATAGCAGTACTGGAAACATTGGAGATGCAGTAGACGCTGACATGACAAATAACATTTCTAGTTTAGATACTGTGGCGCAGGTGGGAGGAGATAACAGCAACCCTCATAAGGATTTGAATAATGAGTCCAGTTCTGGTGTTTCAAAACCTTTTCTGTCTAGTTTGTGGCTTGACGATCATGACTTGCGTGTAGGATTGTGCTTCAAAGATGCTGATGAGCTGAAGAAGGCTGTGGACTGGTGTTCCATTAAAGGAATGCAAAAGTGTGTAGTACAAGAGAATGGGACGGACGAGTGTAAATTTGAGTGCATCAGATGGAAATGCAAGTGGTCACTTGGGGCTGCTAAAATGGAAAAGCACAGTCTTTTTGAGATTGTCAAGTATACTGGTCCACATACTTGTCGTTCCATTGAGCCAGAAAAATTTGATTCAGGTTCAACGCAGATGAGATTGAACGTGTGGTCAGGGTAAATCCAACGCTATCATTTGCAGAGTTGAGCAAGTGGTGGTATGCAAAATTTGGCTATGAGCTTGAAACTAAGGACATGCGAGCTGCGAAAGAGGAAGCTATTAAAAGAGTATTTGGAGACTGGGATCAGAGTTTTGAAGATCTGCCAAAGTTAATGTCTCCCTTTCAATCATCTAATAGACTCCTAGTTGACTGGAAATACGATCTTTTTTCTAATCATAAATTTGCATCCTTCTGTGGAGTGTTTTGGGCATTTCCACAGTCTATCCAAGGGTTTCAGCACTGTAGACCTATGATCGTAGTGGACACCAAAGAGCCGAAAGGTAAGTACCAGTTGAAATTGATGATTGCCTCAGGTTTAGATGCAGACGACTGTTTTCTGCCTCTTGCATTTGCAGTGACTAAGGAAGTTTCGTCAGATAGTTGGCGTTGGTTTCTCACTAATATAAGAGAGAAAGTTACACAGAGGAAAGGCCTTTGCCTCATCTCCAGTCCCTACCCGGACATAGTCTCTATTATTAATGAACCTGGGTCTCAGTGGAAAGAACCCTGGGCTTATCACAGGTTCTGTCTGAAACAGTTCTCTTCCCAATTCTGTCGTCATTTTCCAGGCCTGGAGAGTCTCTTGAAGCAAGCTGGAGAAACGAGTCAGAGGGATGAATTTGAAAACAACATAGAGAGAATTAAAAAGGAGAACCCAAAAGCTTGGAGAAGGTTAGACCAAATCCCTCAAAATCAGTGGGCGCTGGTTCATAACAGTGGTCGGAGATACGGAGTCATGGAGATAGATACTGAGGTTCTGTTTGCAGAGTGTAGAGGCTTTAAGTTGGCTGATCATGTATTGTCAGGTTCTGTTTTGCTTCTGTTTGATGAGCTGAGAGACTCGTTTGACGAATGTTCTCTTTTAAGCCGTGCATTTCTTACTTGCGGCGATGTGTACACCAAACCTGTTACGGATAAGCTTGAAGAGTTCAGGAAATCGTCTGTTGCTTACGTTGTAATGCCGTTAGATAACAACGAGTTTCAGGTCGCAGCACCGTCAGGAAATGATAAATGGATCGTTCAGTTAAATGACTCAACCTGCACATGTGGGGATTTTCAAAACAAGAGGTTCCCACGCCTGCACGCTCTAGCCGTCTGCAAGAAGCTGAAAATCAACCCTTTGCAGTATGTGGATGACTGTTACAGTTGCGAAAGCTATTACAAAACTTATGCTGCAACTTTTTCTCCTGTTCCGGAGTTATCAGCTTGGCCGGAAGCTTCTGGAGTTCCGAGATTGTTTCCTCCAGTCATTCCGTCGCCACCTCCACCTAACGTAGCATGTAAGGCACAACGCAAAACAACTCCCAAGACTATTAACAAGAAGAGCTGAGAAATGTAGATTTTAAGCTGAATCGAAGCAGGCATTTTGGTATGGTTATGTAGTATATTATGACTTTCGGAAGTTTGGGTTGATCAGTGTAGATGCTCTGACGAGACCAAAACGTGTGTTGACGGTTTTTTTCTTTGGTATGTTATAATTAAATCCTGCTCGTGTGATAACTTTTGTCGATCCCCTGAACCGATACAACAAGAAGCAAAACTAAACCTCTTCACGGTCATCTTCTTCACCATCCCTCATTCCCAATCATTTTTTTGATCTTGCTATCTCGCTTCCACGGTGATACTGTATATAAGTAACATATGTATGTTAAGTTTATCCCTTTACTGTTAAGGTATATAATCATATATAGATCACAAATCTGATTACCACTGGTTCAAAAGTTACATCATATTTTTTTTGACACACCTTCATCTAAAAAACACAGGAGAGTAAACAATCATGAAACAGAATAATATATGGTACAGTAAAATAATACCCTTTACAGCTATTGATTCCGACGCCGATGGGAGAGTTTAGACCTCTTTACAGCTATTGATTTCGACGTGGAAGAAGACGAAGCTGAGAGAGACGATTTCCCATGTTCCTCCTTGTCCTCAGTAAAAGCCTTCTTCACAATCTCCTGTATTTCCATGTACCTCTGCTTCTTTTGTACTCTTTTCTCAGGAGTGTCTTCTTCATCTCCGCAAGCCAGTTGAGTCAAGTCATCACAGTCCATAATCTGATCAAGTACTGCCGAACAGCGTGGGAAGTAGCGCTTCCCCAGTTCCACTGATGATAGTCAAATAAAGATAACAAGGGCCAATTTAGTTTTGGAGTTTGTTGCTAAGATGATAAAATGATGAGAATCCATACCGGTTCTGGATAGTGCTTTTAATCTGCTTTGATGCTCTTCTAGGATTTTAAAAGGTGCTATCTCTGGATCCGGTGATGTCCTCTTTGCACCAGCGGGACGATTAGGCTTGAGGCTAGACACCATGAACTCGGATGTTCCCTTCACTTGGGCAATATTCATTGCAACTTGTGCCTCCGTTGGGAAGAGACGTTTTGCAAGTGCAACTAAACAGTAAGTGGATACAAAAGTATAGTTATCACTAGTTCACTTGCTTTCCAAACCAAGGGTGGTTCTGGGCAAGACCGAATGAAACATTCACCTTAGCCAAACTTTGGGTAAAAAATTACATAGACAAAAGCTCCCAAAAATAATTTAGACCCAAATTATTAAAACTAAAAAAACTTAAAATATTTAATAAAATCGCCCCTAAATCTCAGACTAAAGAACTAGATTCCAACATAAATGAGTAAGGAAATACCTCTGTTTTCAAGATCGAGCAGCCTCATCCTCAGGTCATGGTCCGCCATTACAAGAGAGGGAGAAATATCTCTAGGAAACGGATCCCCTTTGTCCGCTTGCTCTAGTATCTCTACGCATAGCCTACCTTTGAGAGAAGGCTTACATTGCTCCGCAAGATTATTATACTCAGCCGCCATAGTGACTTGTTTCGCAATCAAGAGAGCCGTTTTACCTTCCCAAGACATTTCCGATGCACGTGACCCTTTTGTCAATAAAGATAGTATCAGATCAGGCTCCTTGCGCATGGCAGCGACATGAAGCACCGTGTATCCCCTTGGATTCCTAAGGTTGACATCGGCAAGGTTTAGGTCAAGGAGATTATTCGCGGTCTTAACATCGCAATACTTAACAGCGAAATGAAGAGCGTAGGCATCATCAAGGTTAGTGTGGCCCTCAGTCAAAAGCATCTTGACAAGCTCGACATCGTCAGAGTCAAGTGCCTTGTATATATTCAACACATGTTTCTCTGTCTCAGCCACCTCATAGCCGAGATCTTCACGAACTTTAACTATCTCATTGACAATGTGTTGCGGCAAGGACTTGTCAAGAGTAACTAAATCGACGTCAGACATGACAATAATATCTACGCATCTTTCTGTTAGCTTCTTGCAAGCTTCACCACAGATGTTAGAAAGTTTGAGTACGAGCAATATGTCATCTACTACAACTTTGTCGACAACGTCAAGTAAATGCCTCTGATAGAGCGTAACGAGTTCTTGAATCTCGAAGACGGAAGCTAAGTACATAACCTCCACCATGAAATCCACCGCGGGACGGCAGGACACGTGGCGGCAACCCTCGTCTGCGCATTCGGAGACTCCCTTTGGCGGGGGTTTCACTCTGCCGGTGTAGATGTATGCTAAAACGGCGACCACCGAGTCAATGCCGACGACGTGATCCTTGGCGATGTTCTTCAGCTCGAGCTTCACGCCGGCGGTGGTCAGCGCGGTACGGAAGAAGGGGCTCCTCGCTGCGAGAAGGACACGGTGGAAGGGTACTTCACGTCCGCAGGAGAGAACAAGCTTGGCGTCGCTGTAGAAAGATTCAGGGGAGTCGAAGACGGACTCGAGGCTGTTGGAGAGACGTTGCAGCGCTGATACATCGGGTGTGTGATAAAGAATAGATGAGTCGGTGTGATCCGTAGGTGCGGCGAAGAAGGTAGTGCTGCTGCTAATTTCATAAGAACTGCCGAATCCAGCAATGGAATCCATCGGTGGAAGAAAACTTCGCTGGAGAAGGAAGAGGAGAGACAGAGACCAGAGTCAAGTCAATGAGAAAGAGTGGTGGTGAGAGAAAGAGACGAACGGTTAAATTTCCTACAAAGGCCTTTTTTTTTTTTTTTTTTTTT